CCGCTGGTGAAGGAGGGACCCTGCGCGGGGGTTTGCCCACGAGGGGAGGCAGCGGGCCTGCGCGCTCCCAGGAGGTAGGAAGTGGGGCCGAGCAGGGCCGGCGACCTTCCTGGGGGACGTGTTTCTGGGCTCATGGTTGTGGACTTGGGACCCAAAGGAAAACGCGCGCCGTGGTCGTCTTTCTTTCTTTCTAAACGCCGCTAAGATTTCTCGAATCTCACACACCGCGGTCTTTTTGTGCACGATTCCTTCCTCCTGAGTGGGTGATACATTTTCAACTTCACGTTAGGGCAGTGGTTCTCAACCTTCCTCATGCCGCGACCCTTTAATACAGTTCCTCATGTGGTGGTGACCCCCAACCATAAAGTTATTTTCGTTGCTACTTCACAACTGTAATTTTGCTGCTGTTATGAATCGTCATGTAAATATCTGATAGGCAGGATGTCTTTTCGTTGTTCGCGACCCACAGGTTGAGAACCGCTGTGTTAGGGGATAAAGAAACCATGTATGTCTAGTTCGGTTCTGGGCCCGATCTTCCGCGGCTTGTATGTCCTTCAGAAAGTTCTTTTCCTTCGCTCCATCTTCGAGAACGCAATTTATGTCGAGTCGGAGTCGAATTCGCTCCGAGGCACAGGGAGGGGGCAGAGTATTCCGTTATCGTTCAGAGTACTGTTGATGTTGATAAGGTTTGTGGGTGTAATTGGTAGTTGTGTCTCCTTCTTCCAAATCATTGATAAAACTATGCAAAATTAGGCCTATCAGATTTCTGTGGCTCCTAATACTTGCTTCTCAAAACTCTGTACCAACACTTACTCTGAATGATTGAATGCAGAACTCTGGACTATTAAAGCACACAGATAATCCCACAGTCTCTTCATTTCACCCAAAGGGTAAAGCAGAATAAATGAGGAAAGGGATCTACGTAGGTTTCCCTTTTCTTCAACATCTGTGGGCTTCTAGGGACCTAGGGGACAGTTTGAAAATCTCAAAGGTCTAGTCAAGTTCAAGTAGACACGCCTCAATTTCACCCTTAATCATATTTCAATGTATGGATCAGGTTTTGATGGCTTGCTTGTTTTTTTTAACTCAGTTTTAATTACCTAACTATATATTTGCTTTTCCTAAGTATGTCTCAAGTTCCAACTCTTTCATGGAGCCCATTTAGGTTTACCTTGATCTTTCTTTTTTTAATATTATTTTTTATTGATTTCGGAGAGGAAGGGAGAGGGAGAAAGAGCTAGAAACATCAATAATGAGAGAGAATCATCCATCGGCTGCCTCCTACACGCAAGCCCAAAACCCGGCATGTGCCCTTGACCGGAATTGAACCTGGGATCCTTCAGTCCACAGGCAGACGCTCTATCCACTGAGCCACACCAACGAGAGCACATTGATCTTTCTTTAATTGTGTTTGTGTTTTATATGCAAGTGCGTTATCCTACCGACACGTTTTTAATTTGAGGGCAGGGACTATGGCTAGCATGTGAGTCATGGAAATGTTGAAGTGAATGTTAGATACTTTAAACATGAGAAAGGAAAGAGAATTGGCATTATCTCGTGTATGTTCTTCAGAAAGGAGAACATGTGTTCCTGTTTAATCCTCATAATAAACAGCATGTGAGGTAGATCACCTTATCCCCATTAAAAGCCTGAGGCTCAGAGAAGTCCAGTAAGTTTATCTTTAGGCTTTAGTTTGTCTGTCTCTTAAAAACTTAAATTATTTCACTATACCACATTGCCTTCCTGGTAAAAGAGTTTCACCAGTTTATAAAGAAAGTTACTTATGGTCTCTGCCTTCATTTAGCTTTCAGTAACTGCACTAAGTTATGAATTGTCAGCTAAGTATAGGCAGATTCTATAGTACTCTGTTCTTTTGTGTATGCCCCAGGTGCTACCAGAGACCAAAATATAAAATAAAATGGCCTTCAGGCGGCTCTCATGGAGGCAGCTAGCGAGAGGCTGGGAAGCGCTACCCAGAGGAGCGAACAATACAGTCAGGATGGCTAAAGGTGATCCCAAGAAGCCAAGGGGCAAGATGTCTGCTTATGCCTTCTTTGTGCAGACATGCAGAGAGGAACATAAGGAGAAAAACCCAGAAGTTCCAGTCAATTTTGTAGAAATGTCTAAGACGTGCTCTGAAAGGTGGAAGACAATGTCGGCAAAAGAGAAATCTAAATTTGATGAGATGGCAAAGGCAGATAAAGTACACTATGATCGGGAAATGAAGGATTATGGACCAGCTAAGGGAGGCAAGAAGAAGAAGGACCCAAATGCCCCCAAAAGGCCACCGTAAGTGACTGTAGGATTCAGGACAACCATGAAAAGCTTTCCTTCTGCTTGAAAGATTTTTTAAAAGATACTTTACCTAAAAAAATGTCAGGAGACCTCTGTAAAATATTCTGTACTTTGAGCCTGAGGTGTTGGTGAGCTGTGTGTGCTTGGTAGTTGCCTGTTGACCTTTCCACTGGGAAGCAGACAGCCTAGTTTGGGGTTTTAGGATCCTTAGGTACATTCTCTACCCCTTGCCCAGTAACTGAGAGACTGAGAAACCACTCTGTATTTCTAAAGCCGCTTAAACATTTTATAGCCTTCAAAGTATGAGAAGGAGGTCGCCGACTATAAGTCCAAAGGCAAGTTTGATGGCACAAAGGGTCCCGCTAAAGTTGCCCAGAAAAAGGTGGAAGAAGATGAAGAGGAGGAGGAGGAAGAGGATGAATAAACTTTATCTGTCTCCTTGTGAATACTTTATGTAGGGGAGCTCAGTAATTGACACAGCTCTTATTTGAAAGGTGTCTGTTGCCCTCATTAGGATTTATTACACAATTGGATCATGATCATATGTAGTCTCTCAAAGTGCTCTAGAAATTGTCAGTGGTTTACATGAAGTGGCCATGGGTGTCCAGAGCATCCAGAAACTGTATCAAAGTTATACATATTTCCAAACATTTTTAAAATGAAAAGGCTCTTGTGTTCTCCTCAATCTGTGTCCTTTGCTGTTGGTGAGACAAGGCATTTAAAGATGTTTCTGGCATTTTCTTTCCTTTTTTTTTTAACCTGTAAGGTGGTGTTACCTATTTGGTTATTGGCTAGAAATCCTAAGTTCTCAACTGCACATATCTATAGTTTGTAAAAAGAACAAGCTCAGGGCGTGCACTGTGAGGCTGGACCTGTGGACACTGCAGTGGGCATCCATTTAGCTTTAGGTAGTCTTGTTTTTGTACATTGTGACATAGCATCCTGCCATTCTTAGCTGTGGAAAAAGGGGGGTCAGCTGGCATGAGAAGTATTTGGATTGTTTTTAGTTGTGTGGTAGTTTTAAACTGTTTTAAAACAAACTACAACTCTTCATTGTCAACAAAGTGACAGTGCATCAATGAAAGTTCAAGAACCTTCTGTACTAAACACAATTTGCAATATTTTGTTAATTTTTGTATGTTGAGAATGCTGAAATGTTTTTGAAGTTAAATAAAAACAGTATCACATTTAAAAAAATAAAATGGCCTTATTGAATGAGTGAACCAAGGAAGGAATGGAAGACAAAATAATGGTTCCTCCAAAGACAGTGATGGCGAACCTATGACACGCGTATCAGAGGTGACACGCGAACTCATTTTTTTTGTTGATTTTTCTTTGTTAAATGGCATTTAAATATATAAAATAAATATCAAAAATATAAATCTTTGTTTTACTATGGTTGTAAATATCAAAAAATTTCTATATGTGACATGGCACCAGAGTTAAGTTAGGGTTTTTCAAAATGCTGACACGCCAAGCTCAGAAGGTTCGCCATCACTGTCCAAAGATGTTCATGTCCTAATCCCTGGGACCTGTGAATATATTACATGACAAGAGTAAATTAAGTATGCAGATGGAATTGAGTTTGCTAATGAGCTGACCTTAAGTAGGGAGAATATCCTGGATTACTTGATAGGCTTACTGTAATTACAAAGTTCTGAAAAGTTGGAAGAGGGAGATAGAAGTGTCAAAGTGATGCAATATGTCAAAGACTTGACCAGCTATTGCAGCTTTTGAAGATGAAAGAGCAGGCTTTAAAAACTGAAAAAGTAAAAAAAAATTTTTAAAAAATAGCACACACACACACACACCCCTCAACAGATTCTCTACTAGAGCCTACAGAAAGAATACAAGCCTGCAGACACTTTGATTTTGGACGTCTAAACCACAGAAAGTGGCAAATTTGTGTTGTTTTATGCCGCTAAGTTTGTAGTAATTTGTTACAGCAGTAATAAGAAACTAATATAGAGCTCTAGCTGGTTTGGCTCAGTAGATAGAGGTCCGCCTGCGGACTAAAGGCTTCTGGGTTTGATTCTAGTCAAGGGCACATGCTCGGGTTGCAGGCTCCGTCCCCAGAAGGGGGCGTGCAGGAGGCAGCCAATCAGTGGTTCTCCCATCAAGGATGTTTCTGTCTCTCCCTCTCCCTTTCTCTCTGAAAACAATAAAAATACCTTTAAAAAAAGAAAAGAAAAGAGACTAATATAGAAAAGGGAGCCAAATCATGACTAACCTCCAAAGTACTCTGATTTGGATTGTGATTTGTGCTTTAAGTGCGGTTGTGGTTTAACTGAAAGTTTTCTTTAAGCAAAGTTATAGGCACTCAAAGCTGCCTAGATTTCCAGTAGAGGCATACATTACACTTCACTTTATTGTGCTTCACTTGGTTGCGTTTTATAGGTGTTTTTTTTTTACAAATGGAAGGCAACACTGTCCACCAGCAAAAAGATTACAACTCACTTAACTGCAGTACTCACTTTATTACAGTGATCTGGAACCAAACCCACAATATCTCCAGGGTCTATCTGTATTTCCCTATTGCTCTGCTTCTTCTGGCATCAGTCCTCAAGCTGAATGATATACCAGAGGCCCAATGCACGAAATTCGTGAATGGGTAGGGTCCCTTGGCCTGGCCAGCGATCAGGGCCAATCAGTGGGACAACCAGCGGGGCGATTGGGAGGGGGGGGGCCCGTTGGCACCCACCTTGGCTGGCCTGGAGCCTGCAGGCTGGGGGCAGCACCTGCGTTGAGCTCTGCCCTCTGGTGGTCAGTACACGTCATAGCAACCAGTCTTTCTGCCGTTCAGTCGAATTGTATATTAGGTTTTTATTATATAGGATGGGCTATATGATATTACTGTCCAGCAGCAGGTCTTAGCTAAACTGCTCTCAGATCCCCCCACCCCCCCTGCAATAGATGCAAATAAACATTTCATGGTGCTTCCTTGCTGGGATAGTGTCTAAATGCAGTCTAGATAAATAGGAAAAGCTCTGTAATATAAACTTTAAAAATAAGGCTTCAGATGTTAAAATAAATTTTTTAAGCCTTGGCTGTGTAGGTCAATTGGTTAGAGCACCATCTCAATATGCCAAGGTTTTCGGTTCGATCCCTCCTCAGGACACATATAAGAAGCAAGCAATGAGCCGAAACCGGTTTGGCTCAGCGGATAGAGCGTTGGCATGCAGACTGAAAGGTTCCAGGTTCGATTCTGGTCAAGGGCATGTACCTGGGTTGCGGGCACATCCCCAGTGGGAGATGTGCAGGAGGCAGCTGATCGATGTTTCTAACTCTCTATCTCTCTCCCTTCCTCTCTGTAAAAAATCAATAAAATATATTAAAAAAAAAAAAAGCAAGCAATGAATGCTTAAATAAGTGGAAAAACAAATTGATGTCTCTGTCTCTGCCTCTCTTTTTCTCTCTAAAATCAATAAATAAATTTTTGTTTTGTTTGTTAATCCTCACCACAAGATACTTTTTCTATTGATTTTTAGAGAGAGTAGAAGGTGTGGGAGAGACACGATTGGTTGCCTCCCACACTCTCCCTTACTGGAGCTGGGGCTGAACCTGGGACGCAGGTATGTGCCCTTAACCTGAAATTGAACCTAAGACCCTTTGGTGCATGGGCTGATACTCTAACCACTGAGAACACAGGCCCAGGCAATCAATCAATAAATTTTTTTTTTTCTTAAGAAATTTTTAAAGATAAAACTTACTGGTTAAGTTTATAACTAAATGTTTAAAATAGTGAATTTATTTAAAAAATTTTCTTAATAGAAGATATCAAACTGAAATAAGGTTCAAATTAATAAAATGAATTTTAATAATTTACTTATTCTTAGCTAAGATCAAAATCAACAAATAGCTGCACAAATAAGGGATTGAGGCCACCTAGGAAGAAATATGGTATAATGATGAAGAACGTCACTCAAGTCCAATAGCCATGTTTACATTCAAGCTTCTCCATTTTTTAACAGTACAGTGGTTTCCATGCCAGAAAAATTGTGATTTTGCAGCTCTTCCCATAAAGAGGTAAAATCTACTTCCCATCCTTTGAATCTGCAATAATATGTGACAGAAGACCATGCTGATTCTGAGCTAGGTTTGAAGAGGTCTTAAGTTATTTCAGGTCCCTTGGACCTCTGCCACTGCTATGACAAGTCCAGGATGCACGGCTAGAGAATGAGAGACAGTGTAGAGCAGAGTCAGTCATCCCAGCGGAGGCCAACCTTGACCAGCCAGCCAACCTCTTTGGTGGTGAGACAGACATTGGTGTGCAGCCAAGAGTGAGAACCATGCACAGATGTCAATGGTCAAGGAAATTTCAACCCATTTAACTAACATGTTGTCTTTTGGGTACCATTATACCAATTAAATACTCAGTACATATTTCTCCAAAACAAATATTCATATACCCATTAGCTAGCATTAGAAAGAGATCATTACCAATTTCTCTGTCTGCCTTGCCCCAGTCTTATCTCTTTACTTTCTCTTTAAGAGTAAGCATTATTCCAAATGATGTGCTTATTCTCTTGCCTTTTCCTTTCAGTTTTACTAAATATGTATACACTAGAGGCCCAGTGCACAAAATTCGTGCACTCGAGCAGGGGGGGGGGTCCCCCAGCCTGGCCTATGCCCTCTCACAGTGCAGGAGCCCCTCGATTGATCTCCCCAAAGAGGTAGGCCCCGCCCACCCATTGGGCTCCTCGATGAATTGCCCCAAAGAGGTAGGCCAGAGCCGGGGGTCTCGCCTCCGCTACTCCGCGTGCACGCAGCCCCGCCCACCCACGTGCGCTCACTGTACACGCAGCCTCCTGGTGATGGATTGTTACAGTGTGAGGGCATCATGGCATGAGGGCGTGATGACCACATAGGCTTTTATTAGTATAGATTCCCCTAGTAATGAATTAAGCTTTATATGTTTGATTTCTTTAATCCTCACCCAAGGATATTTTTTCCATTGATCTTTAAAGAGAGTGGAAGGGAGGATGGAGAGAGAGAGAGAGAGAGACACATCAATTGGTTGCCTTCTACACGCCCCCAGACTGGGGCCAAGGATTGAACCTGCAACCCAGGCATGTACCCTTGACCAGGAATTAAACCCAAACGCGAGACCCTTCAGTCCGAGGGCCAACGCTCTAACCATTGAGTAACCGGTCAGGGCAAGCTTTATGTTTTGAATTTTATATGTTCTATTGCTGTATATAATAGTTTTCACTCAATATTAGCTTTTTGTTTTGTTTTTTAGTCCTCACCTCAGGATATCGTTGGTTGTTTTTTTTAAAATATATTTTATTGATTTTTTACAGAGAGGAAGGGAGAGAGAGAGTTAGAAACATCGATGAGAGAGAAACATCGATCAGCTGCCTCCTGCACACTCCCCACTGGGGATGTGCCCGCAACCAAGGTACATGCCCTTGACCGGAATCAAACCTGGGACCCTTGAGTCCGCAGGCCGACGCTCTATCCACTGAGCCAAACCAGTTAGGGCCAGGATATGTTTTTTATTGATTTTTTAGAAAGAGAAGAAGGGAGAGAGAGAGAAGTATTAATCCGTTGCCTCCCGATTTTACCCCAACTGGGAATCGAACCCACAACCTTTTTGGTATACAGGACAATGCTCCAACCTGGACTAATATTGTCCAGTTTTTGAGAGTCATACATGTAATGCATGTCACTGCAATTTATTCTTTTTATTTCTGTATGGATTTCCATTGTATGACCATATCTCTGTTTACTCACTCTTCTACCAATGGACATTTGGGCTTTTCACAATTTTTGATAATGCTTCATATTCTATTACTATGTACATTGTTATAGATATTTTCCAGTGTACATGTATAAGTGTTTTTGTAGAATAAATACCAAAGGATAGAATACCTGGGTTTCAGACTTGTACATTTTCAACTTTACAACATGATTCCTAATTTGTTTTTTTAGATATTTGTATTTACTCTCTCGTTGACAATGTATGAAAGTTCCTAGTGCTTCCTTCACGGCCTCTTTAACATTTGCTATTGTCTGATCTTTTCATTTTTCCCAAAATGGTGGTTGTGAATGATTTCATTGTGGTTGTTTTAATTTGTATTTCTCTGATTTGTAATGAGAATTCTCATGGGTTTACTATCCACCTGTAAAAACTTTTCTGTGAAATGTCTGTCTGTGTCTTCTCATTTTTTATCTATTGTAGGCATTCTTTATGTATTCAGGATATTAATCCATTGTGCAAATGTCTTTTCCCAGTTCTGGCTGACCTTTTCACTTCTTCAAGAGTGTGGGGACAATGCTGAAAGGAGTGTCAAGACTTGTCTCCAGGGTCCATAAGGTGAGTCCTAACTGACTTCAATGCTTTGTACAAACTGTCTGTCGGTGGACTTCTGTTTTTATATGGATTTACTATATCCAGAATTAAATGCTTTAGAGAACTTCAGCTGACTTTAATTTATAAGTTCACACTCAAAAGAACAGTTACAATTCCATTTCCCTTCCCATTCACTTCACTCCCAGCTGCCCTAACAATCTTCAAGTAACAAGGTTTCCATAGAATAGTTCTGTTTGAGAATTTACCATGTCATAGGAGAAGTAACATTTTTTAAAAGATTGATTGCAGTTCTAACTTTTATTCGTATTCTCTAGTTGGATTATCATTTCTTAATAAAGTACTTAAAAGAAAAATATGTTGCCAGTTTAGACCCTAAGTATCTGATAGTTGAATAAAATCATATATGAAAAAAACATTCTGTTGCTCTACTTCATTCTTTCATTTATTTAGCAAATAGTTTTCATTACTTTCCATATTGCAAATACTGAGGATTTTCAGATTACTCATTTCACTAATGGTTACTATTTGTTGGGCATTCATTATGTGCCAGGCACTGGGCTAATGCTTTTCTTTTTTAGTTGTCATAATAACCCAGGAACTAGATGATACCTTTGTTTCACAGGTGCAGAAATTGAGGATTAGAAAGACAAAGTAAGAGGCTGTGAAATGGCAGAGCCCAGACTAGGTAGCAGGTCTGTCTGACTTCAAAGCCTGTGGCCTCAACCACTGTGCTATAGTGCATGTTATAGTCCATGCAATTTAGGATCTCAAAGTCAGTAGTGGAATCATGAACAAATGGTTGTTATAGTATGGTACTGTTATTAAAGCACCCAGTAGGAGCACTTAACGGGGATTAGTAGGATCCAGAGGAAATCCTCCCAGAGCTGTATCCTGAAAAATGAGAACTGAGCCAGAAGGGCTTAGTCACTTCCATCTCATTGTTTAATTATTGCAGATTAGACTTCCTAGAACAGCAGCCCTTCCTCCTATAGAATTCATCTTTTTTCCAGGGGTTTACCATAAACCTATGTACATCAGATGAAAATAAAAGCAAGGATCAACAGAGGAAGGATTCTGGTTTCAACATTTAAAAAGCTACAATTTCTTCTTTAATAGCAGACAAGGAAGACAAGTCCAAAATGCAGAGATGTCTGAAGAAATTTTGTGCTTCACATAGATTGGTTTAGGGGGTGGGCAAACTTTTTGACTCGAGGGCCACAATGGGTTCTTAAACTGGACCGGAGGGCCAGAACAAAAGCATGGATGGAGTGTTTGTGTGAACTAATATAAATTCAAAGTAAACATCATTACATAAAAGGGTATGGTCTTTTTTTTTTTTTTTAGTTTTATTCATTTCAAACGGGCCGGATCCGGGCCGTAGTTTGCCCACGGCTGGTTCCTGTTAACTGTCTTGATTTGGCTCATGAATGCTATTCTTAACTGCATGATGTTCATTCTGGAACTGTGTAGAGGCTATTGTACTTAGAGTTGTTTTCCCTGGAAGCAAGAGACTAGCTGGGTGATGCCATATATAATGCTGTGATAAGTAAGGAATCCATTTTGCTAGCTCTTAATTTGCTTCAAAAAGCAGTTAACAAAAGTCATAGAATTCTTGTAGAAATAGCACCACCTTGTGGTCCTTGAATATCTTAAATTATCCACTTGACTATATTTTAGAGACACGGTACTTTCTCTCCAGTAGAATTGAGGACACTGTCCTATCAATAGTACGGTATACTATTCAGGTTGCTGTACTGAGGCAACAGGCCCTGAATTCTCATTGGCTTAACACAACAAATGATGTTGTTTATCAAGATCTGTGCATGTGTTTTGTTTTGTTTTTCCTGTTGCTGTATTTCCAGAGTGGTTTACAGGCACATGTGGGAGGGGCTTGACATGGGAATGAAGGTTCATCTTGGGATGCCACCTCAGCACGTAGGTTGCCGTGACGGGAAGAAAGAGGATTTATAGTCACGCTAAGGTGACTGACTAGAAAAGACACAAATTATATTCATGTAGAGCTCATTTACGAGAATTAATAAAATAACCCCAATTTGCACAGGAGGCTGGGAAATATAGAGAATTTGGATATTTGATAAACATTGGAATCTGCAATCCTCAGACAAAGTTAGAGCAACTCTATTACTTTATATTAAATCTATAAGTGCTGGTTCAAGAGGTTTCTGTATGCAGTTGAGTTGAATTAGTGCAATTTATTTTCACTTAGCTAGATGCTTTACATACTCCCTGCTATATGTCTCCAATGAAAGATTCTTTATTCCAGAGCACAGTATGAAGTATTTGTGGTGTGTTACTTAGAGAAGGAAATACAAAGGTGAATAGAATCTGATCTATTCTCTTCCAAGTGTGTGTCCTAGAATGGGAGACAGACTTGTGTATAAGATAATCTACACTAATAAAAGAGAAACATGGTAATTGGCGTACAACCGCTACCCTTTTCATTGGCTAATCAGTGAGTATATGCAAATTAACTGACAACCAAGATGGCCAGTGCACAAATTTTTGTGCACCGGGCCCCTAGTATATAATAAAAAGAATAGATTTTGGAGTCAGACAAACCTGAATTTGAATTCTGGCTTCACCACCTGCCAACTCTGACCTTAGACAGGATTAATTTCCCTGAATCTTGGTTTCCCTCATCATAAAACATATGATATTATACCTATCTTCTAGGATTCTTGGCTCAGAAATATGTTTAAAACTCTGTATTGCCTCACATCTAACAAGTATTCAATTAACAAAAGCCACGAATGCAGTTCAAGGCATAGTAAAAATGCCATGGAAGCACTGGCCAGTGTGGCACAGTTGGTTGAATGTTGTCCCTTATACAGGTCTGGTTGCTGGTTCGATTCCCAGTCAGGGCATGCAGGGGGCAGCCAATTGATGTTCCACTCTCACATCCATGTTTCTCTTTCTCCCTCTGTCTAAAAATCAATAAAAATATTTTTTTAAAGAACCTATTGCCCTGTCCAGTTTTTCTCAGTGGTTAGACCAAAGGGTCACGAGTTTGATTCCAGGTCAAGGGTACGTACCTCAGTTGAAGTTTCAATCCTCAGCTTGGGGGTTGTGCAGGAGGCAACCAGTCCATGTGTGTCTCTCACATCAATGTTATCTCTCTCTCTCTCTCTCACTCTCTCTCTCTCTTTCTTTGCACCCCTCCCTTTCACTCTCTTTAAAAATTAATGGGACAATATCCTTGGATATATATTTTTTTTTTTTTAATGCCATGCAAGACAAAGTGCTATCAGCAGAGATGGAAAATAATTACTTTTGACTGGAGGTATCTGGAAAAGCTTCACAGAGGTTGTGACATTTGAGATGAGCCTTAAAGGAGGAGTAAGATTTCAATAGGGAGAGAGGGAAGTTGAAGTAGAATGAGCAGTATAGAAGTATCAAAGTGAATAACATGGTCATAGGCTGGAATATGGAGTTCATACAGGAATGAGACTAGAGAGGTCCATTGAAGTCATGGCCTTGATTACCATGCTAAGGACTTTGGGGCTTATTTTGGCATTAGTTGGAAACCAAACTTTTTTTTTTAATATATTTTTATTGATTTCAGAGAGGAAGGAAGAGGGAGAGTTAAAAACATCAGTGATGAGAGAGAACTATTGATTAGTTGCCTCCTGCACTCCCCCCACTGGGGATGGAGCCTGAAACCCGGGCATGTCCCCTTGACCGGAATCGAACCTGGGACCCTTCAGTCTGCAGGTCGACGCACTATCCACTGAGCCAAACCAGCTAGGGCAAAACCAAACTTTTTTATTAGAAGAAGGTTAAACTTACTATTTGGGAGGACAAGTCTTTTACACTATGAAAGATGAAGAATCAAAGGTTTAGAGGTAAAGATAACCAATTAGAAAGTTGTTATTGAGTTTAAGGTCTTTTTAAGTGGATGTAAGTGTTATGAGGGCTGGTACAAAAATAACACATTTTCTGGACTCATGAGGCTGCTTGGTAAGACTAAATAGAAATACAGGCAGTTTTTATGTTACCTGTTGATTTATCGGGTATCTTCCTTATTGCAGCCATCTTTCATATCTGCTTCTGCTGATTTCATATCCTAATCTTTCCCTTGTAACTGGCATCTTTTCACTCCTACATAAGCCTTTTATCCTCAAACTCAGTTTGGGGGTTCTCCAGTTAGCATTTTGCCAGATTTGTCTCCTGAATCATCCTCTCTCTGCACTCCGTCCCCCCAATCCCTTCCTAGTTCAGAGGTTTCCACGTGCAGTTCACTGAATTTAGCATTATCTTTTCACTTACCTAGATGCTGTACATACTCCCTCATTCTTTTATCAATAAAGGTTCTTTATTCCAGGACTCAGCTGGCAAGAAAATTGTGGAGGGTATAATTATACCTACCAAATAGGAACATTGCACTAATCCCCTAATTACTGAAGTGACTACGATTACTGAACAGCTGAGAATTGAACAGTACTGGCCACCATTCATCATTGTGGGCAAGAGCATTAAAAGAAGTTTCCTGCTTCAGGTTAATGGCTGTACTATGTTCCTGAACAATCTCTAATGGAATTATTTGTTTCCATTTGGGACAGAGCCCTGGTATCCTATATAATAAAAGCCTAATATGCTAAGTGTTCAGTCATCCGTTCAACCAATCAAAGCGTGATATGCTAATGATATGCTAAGGCCGCTCAACCACTCTCTATACATGTACTGATCACCAGGGGGCAGACACTCCAACCAATAAGTTAGCTTGCTGCTGGGGTCCGTCCGATTGGGACTGAGTGAGATGGGCCAGACATGCCCTGGAGCCCTCCCGCCATCCCTCCCTGGCTGGCCAACCTCCTGCGTCCCTCCCCGGCCCTGTTTGTGCACTAGTGAGGTCTCTCGGCCTGGCCTGTACCCTCTCGCAATCTGGGGGTGCACTGACTGTCAGGTAGTTCCATCTATATAATAAAAGCCTAAGTGACCGTTATGGTGGAACAATCAGAACGACCGGTCACTATGATGTTCACTGACCACCCAGGGGCAGACGCTCAATGCAGGAGCTGCCTCCTCGTGGTCAGTGTGCTCCCTTGTGGGAGCACCGCTCAGCCAGAAGCCAGGCTCACGGCTGGCAAGTGCAGCAGCGATGGCAGCGCTAAGGAGCAGCGAGCCAAACAGTAAGGAGCAAGGGGTCCTGGACTGTGAAAGAGATGTCTGAGGGGTCCCGGACAGCAAGAAGGCACAGGCCAGGCTGAGGGCCCACGCCCCCGCTCCCACCCCACCCCCCAGTGCATGAATTTCATGCACTGGGCCTCTAGTAGCAACATAAGCTGAAATAGATTCAGAGCATGAATAATGTGATTATACTTAGAGAATTACAATAATTACAAGGATCCTCATTTTACATAAAAATAAAATGTATGTTAGTGGCATTTTTCCCTGTTGCAGATATTGCTTAAAAACTAAGTGTTGTAGCAAGCATAAACTTTATAATTACAGAACATTAGCCCTAACCAGTTTGGCTCAGTGGATAGAGCGTCGGCCTGCGGACTGAAAGGTCCCAGGTTCGATTCCATTCAAGGGCATGTACCTTGGTTGTGGGCACATCCCCAGTAGGGGGTGTGCAGGAGGCAGCTGATCGATGTTTCTCTCTCATTGATGTTTCTAACTATCCCTCTCCCTTCCTCTCTGTAAAAAAATCAATAAAATATATATTTTTAAAAATTACAAAACACTGACCTGGTTTCTTTTCTAGTTGGACCCTGGACATTTTTTGCGCCTGGGGACCCAGGCACCCCAGAGCCTTGCTGCTCACCTGGATAACCAGGTTTCATTTGAGAGTCCTAGAGCTATTTCCTGCACCAGTGAGAATGACCCGGTGAGTTGCTAATATGTATATGAATTTTTTTCAGTGCTTATAATCTCTGCTGCTGTCATTTTACATATCAAGAAAATGTACATGTAGTCAGACAATGCACCCAAGACAGCATTCCGGAACCCAGATCATCCCCATCCCCCTGTCTGATATTATAACACTAGAGGCCCGGTGCACAAATTCGTGCTCGGGTAGGGTCCCTCAGCCTGGCTGGTGATCGAGGCCTATGGGGGGGGGCCCACCAGGGGGGAGAGGGGTTGCAGGAGGTTGGCTAAGGGAGCGCACTGACCACCAGGGGGCAGCTCCTGCATTGAATATCTGCCCCCTGGTGGTCAGTGCACATCATAGCAACTGGTGGCTAAGGGAGCGCACTGACCACCAGGGGGCAGCTCCTGCATTGAATATCTGCCCCCTGGTGGTCAGTGCACATCATAGCAACTGGTTGGCCAGTTGTTCTGGTCGTACCAGTAGTTTAGCTGTAGCAGTCTCTTAGGCTTTTATATCTACACTAATAAAAGACAAAGTTGCAAATTGGCCATACCTTTGCTATGCTCTAAGCCACGCCCACCAACCAATCAGAGCAACTATATGCAAATTAACCCAACCAAGATGGCAGCCAGCAGCCACGGAGCTGGAGCAAGCAGGAGGCTTGGTTGCCCCGGCAATGGAGGAAGCCAAGCTTCCC